CTCTGATAGTCCATTGCATTGACAAGTATCATTGATAAGTTAAATCACACCTTAGTTTCTGTGTCCAGTCTCACACACTACAGAGTGGTGCCTTCTTTTTGCATAGGCAACCAACTCATCCATGTCTGTTGACCTAGACTTCTGATCCATCCATCATTTTGGATGAAGGAAGTTTTTCCTTCTCTACATTTGTTGGGGCTACATTGAATTTAATCTGCAGAGTACTTAAAAAAAAACACCTTACTTATCCCTAGTCCTCCACTCAGTTAGCTTCTTTCTGTATTTACAAACATTAGGCCTTACCAAATGTGCTCTCCCTTGGCTTTGCTCGAGGTCTGTTTCCTCACTATGCTACCAACGGCATAAAAAATAAAGATTCTTGGTCTGAAAATATGGCTCAGTGGTAAAGCACTTACCTTGCATGCAGGAAGCCCTGGATTTGATTCCTAGAACAATAAAGAAAACCAAGTCTAGGGGCTTACAGGAAGAAAGACAAAGAGGGAGGGAGAATGCAGTCATAACACTTAATGCATGTTCTATGAAACTAGCAAAACTGAGGGGAGAAGTTGGGTGGGGAGGGATGAGGGAGATTAAGGAAAGTGTTGGTCTTGATAGAGATGCGTCTTACCTATAAACTGATTTGCTGATTGGCAACCCATTTGCACAACTACGTAAAGATAATAAACATATCACTAATAAGAAAAACGTTCTTCTAATGCCAATGAATGGAAATGTCATAATGAAACCACTTATTATGTACACTCAATACATGCCAAAAATTCCAACAATAGAATAACCAATTGGGAAATAACTGGGAAAGGGAAGGAAATAGAGCAACATTTGTCACTTGCCTCGCATGCTGAAGGCGCTGAGTTTGATTTGTAGTATCATTTAAAATGGTTTTAATAAATGTATCACCAGTATTCCCAAGCACAAACACAATTAGAAAGAAATAAGAACTTTTGTATCCTAGGTTTTGTTACTTCCCTTGGGTGTTACCTTTTCTTCTCTTAGCTAATGACCCCAATTAAACTCTGTGAGAATAAGGAATCTATCCTTTTCTGTAGTCCTCTATAATAGTTCTCCAAATTTATCCCTGTAAAGAACAACAATAGATTCTCAACAAACATCTGCTTGACATGACTCCCCATATGATTTTAATGGTAAAAATAGGCAGACTGTATGAAATGTGAAGTTCTGACTTCTTGAAATGACCCATGCACTGATATTAACAAAATGGCTCATACAAACTAGCTAACCACTCTGTAAATCTTCAACAAATAGGAACATTTTAATAGAATAAATGTAGTATCTTTTCTGATCAACAGCCAGTGGTGTTTATTAAACTGGTAAATGCCTATGCGTATATCATCGTTGTTAACACTCTGGGGTAACCTTTGCAGTTAATCTGATTTAAATTTTAAACTGAATTATAATTACCATTTCTATTTACATACAGGAGAGCAAAACAAATTTCTCATATAGCTATATATCCTAGTTGGAAAAATTTCTTTAACAATAGGCACTAGGCTTTGAAAATGACAAAAATATGATCTTCACTTTGAACATCAACAGTAAAACAGAATACTATATTTAAATGGTTTTCTTTTTTATTTTTAAATAGCTTTGATGCACATGAGAATGCTATTCTAAAACTGACCTATTTGAACTATAAAATATGATAGTTTATAGAACTGCCTTGGTTTAGACTATAGTTCTAAAAATTAAGCAAAACTTCCATATGCAAATATATTTACCTCCAACTCTTAAGTTATTTGAAAGATCAAGAGCTACAGCAGTTAACAGTTGAATATAATTTTTGAGCTGCCTCACTCTAGTAGTGCACAAAGAAAAGAAACATAATAAAGACTCTCCCATTAGCGTTGGTAGCTACAATTCGAAAATAAGCTAACTTTCTGAGGTCATAGTAAATTAGTGAAGTCGGAACATTCCCTTTTTACTGAAACTATCAGAAACAAGAGGCAAAAGATGGCAGCAGTGAGTCGCTCCAAGATCGAACATCACACACATGATATATTTTATTTTCCAATATTATCTCATTGTGGGTTTAATAATAGCTCAAGTTACAAATTATTCTGAAGAATGGAAATCATAAATGTTTCAATGAAATGGGTCACAGAGAAAATTAAATCAAAGGAGTCCAGATCATTGTTATTGCTTCGCAAACTAAGTACCCCACATCCATCCTAAGAAAGGCTTGTAGGGACTGTCTATGGGTCAACGTTAAAAAATGTCTAAGAGCGGGGTACTGGTGTCTCACATCCGTAACCCTAGCTACTCAGCAGGCTGAGACCTGAGGATCACGGTTCAAAGCCAGCCCTGGCAGGAAAGTCAAATGAGACTCTTATCTCCAATAAACCACCAGAAGACTGGATGTGGTGCTATGGCTCAAGTGATAGAGCATTCACCTTGAGCTGAAGAGCTCAGGGACAGCGCCCAGGCCCAGCGTTCAGCCCCAGGGCAGACAAAAACCAAAATGTCTACGTAAATTTACAAAATTACTTCCTTCTCTTGGATCGAGATGAGTATAAAAGAGACATGCACTGTGTAGGTATGGTGTCTAAGCACCTGTCCTCATTTTCACAGCGAGTAACTCTTCTTTCAACCACTTCCTCTTTCCCCGCTCCCCCCACCCCTGTCTCCTGAGATAAAAGATACAGACCAAAAAAAAAAAAAAAAAAAAAAACCTAATAAAAAGAACAACTACCCTCAACAACAAACAGAGAACAAAGAGGATCTTTGCAAGTTTATCGTGGCACAATGGGCATGGTGCTGCTAATTTGTCGCCTACCAAGTGCTCAACATAATTGACCTGTCTTTCTGAGAGCTAAAGCACAAAATATGTCCAATCTGCTGCAAATGGCCTTCATGTCCTTCCTCACAGAATCTGGATATTTAATTATCAAAACAGTCTTAAAGCACGCTCAGACCTGCACTGGAGAGCTACTTTGGCAAGTGAGATCAAATATTTGTCCGCATTCTTTCTTAAAGCTGGAGGGATAAGTGTAGTTTTGCCTTGCGGTCAATAGTAGTCCATGCTTAACCTACAATTCAGCTCATTTAATTTTATTTATTTATTTATTTTACCTATTTAATCGGCCTAACCCTTTTCTTCTCTATTCTTCTCAACTTATATTTCAACTTACTCCAATGCACAATGGAGAGCAAACCTAGTCAACTTGACTTGGTTGCATCATCTCTAACATGAACTAGAAGCACATTGCCACTGGGCTTCAGAAGTCTCCTTGGGTCACGCTTTGTCTGTGTTCAGAGAGCAGCTCTGGAGAGGCTGGGGTGGCGAAGGTCTGGGATCCTGAGTGTGGGATGGTAATGAGAAGTATTTGTCCTAGCTCCTGGGCACCCTGTGTCTTAGACATAAGGGGTGAGCCCTGTGGAAACACAGGGACAGGGACAGACACGGCGGGGATTCCTGTGCACGGGCAGGACAGGGGTCTTCTTCTCTACAGCGACTTTCAATAGACTCATTGCACTTGCCCCAGAGCACGGCAAGAAACCAAACACGAGGTCCAGTTCAGTCCATGGTTGTCTAACCAGGAGGGTATGTGAAAAACCCATCTGAACGGGACACCCAAAACAAAATACTGTGCAGCTGTGTTGGAAGGCCTGTGTTTGTGTGTGTGTGTGTGTGTGTGCATCTGTGTGTGTGTGTGTGTGTCTGTGTGTGTGTGCGTCTGTGTGTGTGTCTGTGTGTGCGCGTCTGTGTGTGTGAGAACAAGAGTTTCAATGTAGCTTGGGAAATGGGGGACAGGCACAGGACAAAGTGGCAGAAGTGAGAAGACAAGCAGGAAAGTGTGACCCAGGAGGAAGAGGAGGAGGAGGACCCTCTGGAATCTTTCCAGTTCCCGGGCGTACCAGGGGCTTCTCGCAGGAAGGTTTCCTATATTCCAGAAAAGACCTGGGTGTGGGGGACCAAGTCCCGGGGTGAACTACGCGATCACAACACTGGAGGTGAGTCGAGCCAGGGCGGGCTGCGGGGAGAGGGGGCCGGGGGGGGGGGGGGGAGGGCTTCTTCCCTCCGCCTCCCCCGCCCTCCAGCACGCACAGCCGGCCTGTCCCCGCACCCCTCACCCACTCACACCCACTCATGCCCGCACCCCTGCCCCGTGGGCGGCCCGCGATCTGCCCCCACCGGAATGCACGGTCGGCGGCATCTGGCCACGTGAACCAAGGCACCGATGCCGGGAAGCGGCGGTCCTCCTCGGGACGAGTTTCCATCCCGGCCCGGGGCGTCCCAGCCCGAGTCCGGACTGGACGGGGCGGCCGTTCCCGGGGCTGCCGGGCGCTCTCCCGGTGCGCGGCCTCCTCCTCCTCCCCTCCGCCGCCGCCGCCGCCGCCGCTGCTGCCGCGAAAACCAGGAGAAGTGGAGTGCGCGTGGCGAGGCGCCGCGCGCCCGCTCGGCGGCACTGGGCATGCTCCGCACCCCGGGCAGGTTTCGGCGGTGGGGAGGACGCCGCCTCACCAGCCCGGCGCGGGAGCCGGCGGCCGAGGCATAGGTGGAGGCTGAGGCAGCGGCGCGCCGCGGGAGGAGCCTCGCCCTCGGCGGCGGCGGCGGCACAGGTGGCGCGGGGCGCGGGCGGGGCGCGGCTCCGAGGCGCTCGGCGGCACGGGGCGCTCCGGCGGCCCCAGGCTCGCGCCCGGCCGGCGGGGCGGCTGCCACTGAGGCGCCGGGAAGCCCGGGGCGGCCCCGCGGAGCGCGCGCGGAGCCGGGCAGGGGGCGCTGCGCTCGCCGCCGCCGCCGCCGCGCCGCGCCGCGCCGCGACCGCTCGGGGGGCCGCCGGGCCGGGCGCTGCGCACTCGCGTCGGGAGCCGCCGCCTTCGCCGGTCCCGCGGCCCCGCTCTCCGGACAACAAAAGCCCGGGGATGCTGCAGTCGGGCGAGGTCCTGACCTTGCCCTGAAGCCGGGCGGCGGCGCGCACGCCCGTTCCCGGGCCCAGGAGCTGCCGGCGCCGCGGGCGGGCGCATGTTCGCCAAGAAGCCGGCGGGCGCCGCGCCGCTCGGTGAGTGGCCGCGGCCGGGTTGCGGGAGGAGGGTGTGTGTGGGGGGGGGTGGCGGGCGCGTCCTCCCGGCCGCCGGTGGGGGTCGGTCCCCGGCGGCCGACTGTGTGTGTGGGGAGGGGCCGGGAGGGGGGGGGACCGCGATCGCCCAGCCCGGCGCGGTGACCGAGCCGCTGCGGGCTCCGCGAGCCCGCCCGCCGGCCCGTGCCCCGGAGGGCGCCGCTGCCCGGGGCGGGGGGTGGGGGCACGCGCCGCCGGGCCGCTCCCGCCGCCCTGGGGCGCGGGGTGGGGGCGGGGCGGCCCTCCTCTGGTCGCTCGCCCTTATGCTCAATGTCATCACGACGTGTGCGGGGAACCAAACGGAAAGACTTAGTCATAGGCGCCCGGGGCTGGGTCTCGGGGCTCCCCGCGCCCCGCCAGACCCCTCCCCCGATCCCCTGTGGGTCTATATTTAGCCATTTCCGAGGACGCGGTTCGGCCGGGTCGCGGGGCTTGGGGCGGAGGGGGGTCTCCGCGCGCTGACAATAGACCCGGGAGGCTCCGGAGAGCGCCGCCCGACACCGGGCGCGGGGAGCGGAGCGGGCGCGTGAGTGCCGGGCCGGGAGGCGCGGGCCGCCGCTGGGCGATTGGTAAATTAATGGCTGCGAGCCGTGCGGCGCGCAGCCCCTCCCCTCCCTCCCCGCCCCCTCCCAGCCCGACCCCGCTCTCCCTCCCGGGGGAAGGTGGTTGTCATCCGTGGCTGCTCGGCGGGTTAGAGCCCTGGAAAGGGGCGGGGGGTGGGTGGGAGGGGAAGGGACTCCGAGGTTTCGGGGGGTGTGTGTGTTTGTGTGTGTGTATGTGAGCTCCTCACGAAGAGCAGTGACTTCCCAGATGCCCAAAGTTGTTGTGTTTCGCAGTCAACACGGGGTGATGAGTGTGTGTGTGTGTGTGTGTGTGTGTGCGTGCGTGTGTGCGCGTGCATGCGCGCACCCGCGCCCGTGTGTGTGTGTTGGGGAGGGGGGTGGAGGGGAGACAGGCTGTGGTTGCTTGCTAGGTGTTGGCGTTTCCTTCCTGGAAGCGGTCTGAAAGGTAGCTTGCCGATCCCAGGCTTTCGGGGTTGGCTCAGAAAAGCATCGTCCTATCCGCCAAAAATATCAGGACTTTGGCGTCGGACGGGCAGTATTTCCCAGGCTGGGCAGGATTTTCCTCTGGCCTGAGTTGGTGGCAAGGCTGGGTTGGAAGGCTGCAGGAGTTCCCTCCGCGTGTTCAGCTTCTTCTCCCCAGGGGAGCTTCAGGTGACCCGGCCTGTGCACATCCCCACCAAACCGAGATCGTGGCCAGGCTCCCAACTTCCCATGGACGGAGCGTTTCCTGTGACTCAGGCTGAAGTCCAGAGATCCACCCGTGCCTGAGGGGAGGGGTTCTCTGCACGGGAAGTGTGGCACCTGGGGCTTGCATCTTCACACACCAACCAGGGACTCGGGCGGTAGACTTTCCTAGGATCTGCCCCACGCAGATCCTAGTGTCCTGTTGCTATGGGAAGAAAAAGAAAAAGTTCAGTGGTCGCCTCACTGGTGTGTGGGTTGAGTGTCCCAGGCCTCCAACGAAGATGATGACAGTCAGTTACATGTGAAAATCTGGGAGGTGCTCATTCTAAAGAGAAGTCAGCTTTGCAGAAGGACTAGAAGAGTCAGGGGGGCTCACGTTAAACGAGGACTGATTCGTTGGGCCAATAATGCTTTATTATCATTATTGTTATTATTAATTTTTAAACCTTAGATTCAGAGAACTTACCCAGAGCATGTTGCATGTGCTGTGGATCTTACCACATTTCTTCCAGAAAGAAGCATTCGATGAAATAGATAGCAATTTCTCTTTTCTTTCCTTCTTTTCTCCTTCGGAGTCTAGTGTATTCTTAAAGGATCTTGCTCTCTTGCCTGTGTTTGATTTCAGTGAGTTGCCGACAGGCGTGAGAAAATCTGCACGCATCATATATATGGCTTTTATGTTATCTTCCGGATGGAAAGTGATCGTACCTGATTGAATGGCAATTGTAATAACTGCATGAGGTTGTTGCTCTAATAAAATTGGCATAGTCTTGTGGAAAGGAGTTATTTAATTTGGTGTGTGTTTGTGTAGTTGTATAACCCAGCCATTGCAGATGTCACTAATGTTTTCATTGTTGGTAATAAAAGTCATGCACTGTCAAATGACAGTATTTCTCTCCACTTTACATCTTCCAGAATAGAAGCCAATTCTTTTTCGTGAAATGGTTTGTTAGAGAGGGGAAAAAATAAAATTAAATGATTTTATGGGAAAATGCAATTTATAGTTTTGTTAAATAATTTCTAAGGGTAATGTTTTCATAATGCACTGTAAAATTAAAAATTAATTTACATATTTCTCAAGTACAATATTATTTTTGACACATAATTACATAGTGTCTTTCCTGGAAATGTTATAGAGTCTACTTCTTCCTGTTGTGTTTTTAGCAAACCTCTCTTTTATATGTCATGTACTTAGGTGGAACTGTTGAAAAGTTTTAGAATAATTTCATAAGGTAGCCCCACTGAACTTATATTTGGAATAATTTATAGTGACTCATTTTCAAAAGATCAGATATACTTGGGTATTCATCAATACCTAGTTATAACAAACCAGTTTTTAAATTTAAATTTTATTTCTTTTTTATTATTATTATCTTTAAGTAGTTGCATAAAGGAGTTGCCACTTAGCTAAGCAGTTTACTAATATATCTTGATCAACATTCTCACATTCTTGGCTAAAATCAAAGCATTACATTTTTAACTTCCTAAAGTAACTTCTTTTGTTGCTTTTCCTTGTGTACATTATTTTCTTTAGAGGGGCACTGTGCTCTTCCTAACACAGGTTTCATTTTTTTCTGAATAAAAATAAATTCTACTGGAGAAGCTATGTGACATTTGGGCAAGGATTTCAAGGCCTTTACATTTTAGGTCGCAGGTGGCTCATGCCTGTAATCCTAGCTACTCAGGAGGCTGGGATCTAAGGATTGGTGGTTCGAAGCCAGCCTCAGGCAAGAAAGTCTTTGATACTCTTACCTCCAATTAAATAGCAAAGAAGCCAGATGTGGAGTTGTGGCCAAAGTGGAAGACTGACAGCCTTGAGCAAAGTGGCTAAAGGACCATGCCAAGGCCTTGAGTTCAAGTCTCAGTATCAGCACATACACCACGGTTTTCATTTTTAAAAAGGTACTACATCCTTGGGAGTATTGAACTTCTAAAACTCAGATGGTTAACACAACCAAGCATAAATTGTCAGTTATTTTTATTTTTTTATTTTATTTATTGTAAAGGTGATGGTCAGGGGACTTAGTTACATAAGTAATGAGTACAGTTAAAGTTGAATGTTCTGATTGTAGTGTTGTTATTGTAGATACAGTGGGTTTCTATTAGGTTTAGTAAGACCTAGGTTTTCAAACAAAATACTTCTGTTGGCTTCTCAGATGGTTTCCATCATCTTTGTGTTTCCAAGATCACAATGCTTGGATAGCTGTGTGATGGGTTATGTTGCTGTATGTGAAAAGTTAATCTGGATAGAAGAGTTCATGATACTTGTTGCTAGCTCCAAGTTTATCTGATTGTATGCCAAAGCAACAGCTTTTTATGATACTATAAAATATGAAACATGTCATAGATAAATAGTTTCCATCCATTGTCTGCCAACCCAGCCTCCTGATTAATAAACTGCCTGGTTGGATTTAATGAATCCAATTATATTCACAAACAGTACCTCCAACACAAGAAACTCGCAGGAAGATTTTATCATACTGTGACTCTAGTCCATTAAATGTTAAGACTCCTAACAAAAAATAATGTAGTTACAACCTTTTCAGTTGTTTATCCGTGGATCACATAGCAGTTAGTTCTAATTTCAAGCTTCATGTGCTGGTTAATTGATTTGTAGGAAATGTCTTAGTCATATTAGGTTATTGAAGTAATACTTTGTATCAATTATTTTTTTGACAAATTGGAAATAATGGCTAAGTAAGAGAAACAGTGCTTCAAAGAAGCTGCCCAAGACAAATACTCACCTGTGTTCCTTAGCATAGTATCTATAAAATGTTATGCTTATGACCGTATACTATAGTACCTATATATATGACCATTTATATGATCCTCAGACATTGAATTGGTTTCTGCATCAGCAAAATGGGTACAGTATAACAGAATGTCTCTAGCTATTGGTTTGAAGATAAAATAAGAAAGTAAAGGGAAAAGTGTCACCCGAACTGTAAACACTTATGTAAGTTGAAGACATCTTTATTAAGAAAGGTAACTGTTCTTACGTGTTATTAAATAAGTTAACACTCTAACAGAGGTATAGTCTCTTCCTATTATATTGTTTTATTATGTGGATTTGCATCTAGAATGCCATTTTTTCAATTTTGAGACAGACAGTAATATTTTATATATTAAAATATATTAAGTAAATTATACCCTAGCACCATTATTTAAAAAAGCTTTCCCTTAATAATCAGAAATTGTAAAACTTTTCTTTCCTTTTCTTTTTTCTTGAGTGGGGGTAGTCGTGGGACTTGAACTCTGGGCTTGGGTGCTGTCCCTTAGCTCTTCAGCTCAAGGCCAGCACTCTACCACTTGAGCCACAGTGCCACTTCTGGTTTTCTGATGGTAAATTGGAGATAAGAGTCACATGCACTTTCCTGCCTGGGCTGGCTTTGAACCCCAACCCTCAGGTGACAGCCTCCTGAGTAGCTAGGATTACAGGCGTGAGCCACCAGCGCCCAGCAAAAGTTTTAGTTTTCATTAGGGTTATATTTTCACTTGATTATGAGCCAGTTTTCTACAAAAGTTAATGTTGTGCAGAGTATGATAGACTGTTCAGTAATCATCATTGTTTGAGGCCAGTAATAAACATCTGTCCAGTTTTGAAGCCTAGAGCATGCATCACAACCCAATATCAATGTGGCAGGGATAAAAAGAAAACGTAGGCAACAGAAGCTATTGTATAAGGAGGAGACACAC